ACATAGCATCCATCAGTGTAAAAACTTGATTTCATTTTAAACTGTTGAAATGATTCATCAGCTAAAGGTATGAGCTGAAGTCCAGCTAAATCTTGAAAATTATTATCATGCAAGCAATATTTTAGAATTTTCATTTTGGCTTCCTTTGATATATAACAATAGGAACTTGGGTTATGCTTCAAGTTTGTTCGTACTAAAGGAGGATTCATAGTGCTTCTTTTTCCATTATAATAATGGGCCAATGCTTGATTGCAACTGCTATTAAGCTCAACTAACTTAATGCCACATAATATCATTGCTTCTATAACTGGCATAGGCACATCATCAGTAATAAAAACAGCTTCTTGAATACTAATCCACATCCTGCTTCCAATTGCTTGGGTATGGACGACCATGTTACTGTTCAATAATGAACTGTAGAAAGGCTCTAATAGAGATTCCCAAGGTGTACCATGTAACCTCTGTATGTCAGGCCAACAGTTATAGACAGTGTTGTGAGAGATATCAAGGGCCATAAGCTCAGAGACTAATTTTAGATAGCAAGAAGGAAGGCATTTCTTAACTAGCAACTTATTCCACATCCCCTCTTCATCTCCCTTCCTCTCTTGTGCCTCCCATTGTAATGAGCGACGATTACTGCTAACAGCAAACATACCATTCACATGAATGCACATTGGGGCTCGATCCTCTACAGGTAAAGGCAGTACACAAAAGATCCGTCCAGCTAAACAACTCATTTTTAAATCAATGGCTGCTCCAACCCAAGGAAGTACATGCTGCTTCTCTGCAAGATGCATTATTTCATCATTTTTAGAGCCCACCTGATTCACTACTAACCACTCATGCTCAGATGTGAATCTACCATTAATAGATATGTGAATGTGAAAATGTGAAGTATCATTAACCAACTGGCCTACAGTGCGTGATAATTCACCTAAAAATATTGATTCAACTTGACTAACTAATTGTCGCTGTTGCTCTAATCGTGAACCAAAATCTGCTTCACTTACACTCACTTTAAACAGTGGTTCAGTGACATTGCTCTCAGTGATTTGGAATATTTCAATGGAGCAAATAGAGCGAAGATAAACAAGTAAATACTGTGCCTCTTCTTTAAGAGACTCAAGCAATTTATGAAGCCTGTCTATATCGTAGACTTCATTAGATATTTTTGAGGCTTTATTACGCAGTGGAAATCTAAATAAGGTATTATTATTATACTGTGTTGATTTTTTAGAGAAACCGCAAATGCCATCAAAGGGTTCCAGTACTTCAGGACATTCATCAATAAGATTCTTCAGATAATAGCCTTTACCTGATTCTCCTTTCCACACTGATTCTTGTGGCTCTAGGAATCCACAGTAATCTTGACTGAGAATAACTGGGAGGTCTAAAAATACAAATGAATTGATTATTCATGAGTGACACTTAAGTCATGAATATCATTATAATTCCAAGTAAAATGGCACTACATGCACAAGCTTGTTTTTCTCCTCTTACCAGTAATGTGATACACAGAATTGAATCCAATTCCAAACTTTCCAACTTTGTGTGGATTCTTGGCTTTGCCGCTCTGCTGAAGACACTGTATGCTCTCCCAGTCTTCTTTCCTGAAAGGAGCATTGTTATAGGAAAGGAGTGCAGGTCCAGTGAACTGTTGTGATAGCACCTCCCGATTTGCTTCTGAACACACAACTGATAATAGTGAAGGTGGGAGTGTTTCCATTAATCTACAATCAAAATAAAATTTGATTTCTGTGGCTTGGGCATCATCAGCATTTTGTATCATTTCCTGGAAAAAGTAAATAAAAAGAGTTCAGTGCACTGTTACAGTAGTATGAAAACATATTAACTAATACTCACACACATACACACACCTTATTATAATTTGACAACATTATAATTACTATAGGTTACATAACATCACACTATTATTGCACCCATCTATCAC